CAGACATATAGTTTTTAATCAATTAGGACACGCTCTTGACTCGATGGTGTTTCATGAGATTGCCAACAATGACAGTGTGTCTGCCCAAATCCTAAACTTGTGATTTCTTTCATGGGTCCTTCATTGGTCATCTTTGTTCAATCATGTCGCACATGAGCTGAGCCCTAGGCAGCATCATGGGCCACTGGCCACTCTTGGGTCTCCGTGTTGTCAGTCATCCGCTTACACTTTTTGGCCAGCAGGTGTAAACGCTCGGATTGGATGGTCAAACAATCCAACTTAGACTCCCTCGGACTTCGAGCCAAATCAAAGGGGAGCATTCGGTGAAGTTTCCGTGTGACCAACAGACACAGGCGCTTCGTAAAGACCCTCCCCTTGTAAGCAGCAAGATGTTGGAAGGTCAACCTGGTTTTCCTTTTGCGCAGATCAACTTTCCTGGGGAATAGTGAACCTGTGCTCTCAATCCAATCCAAATCCAAGTGTGGAAAGATCGCGTCGGCAATCTTTTGAGCTAGAGCAATCCGCCTGTCCTTTTGGGAAGCCTTGCGGCCTGTTCCATACGGACATCGCTTGCCGCGAGCCATTGCCCAAAGAGGCACTTGCGGGCCAAAGAGAACACGAATATAGTTTGGGAAGATCTTCTCGCGTTGTCAACGTGGGCCAGTATATGTATAGGGTGAAGGTCAAAAACGACATACAGAAAAGGAGTTCAACGTGAAACCCTACTGTGAGCCAACATTGCAGGTTGTTTGCCTCACCAAAAGCTGGTTTACGAGACGCGTGTTCCTGAGCCCACCACGGACGCTTGCGTGGCATGGCCGGCGCACGGATCTAAAAAGCTGAGTCTAGTCCACAGTTAACTGCTATTTATGGCAAAACTTAAGGATCACATACGTATATCTAAAAAATATTTACATATGTTTCCAGGGGTGGGTGTTCCTATGGACCACATGCATGTCTTTGCGCGCACTTGCGCTTCAGTGCCCCGTCGAAGCCCCTACTAAGAATGTAGAATGCAGCAGTTGACAAACGAGAAGCCGCGCATACAAAACACCTGTGTTTCTTTGACGGCTCCCTGCAACACGGCTCCATAAGTGTGAACAAACAAGGACACATTCACAAAACTGACAAAAAGACGGAAACAATCTCATCATGAGGCGCATACAAAACGCCGTTGCTTTTTAGACGACTACCTGCAACACATGCTCTATGGTTTCTAAATGTCTCGGGATACACCAGTGGTTAGTCCTCGGTTGGTTCCCACGGAGTGCCATTCACAAAACTAGAAACAGATGGAAACAATTTCATCCTGAGGGTTTAGGTATACGCTTAGGTCACGCAAAACGCTTAACGCTCTTCCCTTTTTTTCCAGGCTCGATGGCCCCCCACGAAATGCGCAGTTTTTGTGGTTCCCTACCATTCTCTCCACGGCTTAAGGTCTGTGGAGATCATGTGGAGCAGGCCTACAGAGCTCCACTTAACAAAGCTGTCTGCAGTGTCCTGAGGATATCCCTGGAGACGTCCAATGACGTACCTGCTTCTTTGGTGTGTTTACAAGCTGTGACTCTCATCTTCCATAGCTCCCAGGAACACACATGTGCACGACTCCATGCAAATTTGCATGGCGCTCATCTTCCCACACTTGCTCTCCTATGCTTCCCAGAACAAGGCCCTATAGAGTAGCCTTTGGCAGCATGACCTATGAGTCCGGTTCACCTCTGTTGGCTCTTTCTTGTCCGATGGGCTCGAGTTTGTTTTCAAACAACTTCTTCAGGGGGTTATCCTTCTTGAACTTACCCTTTCCAAAGACTTTGCAATCGGAGTCGAGGACTGGGACATGACCATCAACGCGAAGTTGAACGATTTTCTCGTCCGGTCGGACCAAGATCGGCGTACCGTTTGCTGGCCACACGAAACTGTACCCCTGGTCAAGGCATTTGATGCCAACAGACAGCACAGCAGGGCATTCGTCCAACAAATACGGTGTGCAAGGTTCCAGTAACTGTTTCATCTGAACATCAGCTACTTCGCTGGCTTCGGTCGATCCATTTGCAGTGATCAAACTGATGGTGTGAGGTGCCCTTCGGGGGTTCTCTGCACCAGCAGCGTCCATGACTTTCCTGCTGAGGAGGTCTTGCTCGCTCCCTGAATCGACCAGCCAAGAGAACCTGCCTTCCCTTGGTGCCGGACTAGCAACGATGGTTGGGATAGTAGTAGGACATGTCTTCAGCTTGATCAAACTTCGGCAAGCACGGCACGTGAGCGATGACTCTGTGCACAGAAAGCGACATGATGGCGCGTTTGAACACTCGAAATTCCGAACGACTTCAGCCAACTGCCTAGCTTTTACTTTGGCCATGTTGGTAGCCTTCGGGTCGCTCTTGGGCACACGATCGCTCGTGGCATAATGTACACTGTACTTGCGTGGACGTTTGACCATCTTGCAGTGTTCCCCACGAGCAGGGATTGCGCGAATCTCAGGCTTCATGACGAATGTAATCCTTCGGGCGAGTGACTTGGACCTTTTCCGTGCTGGAGGAAGACAGGGCTTCTTGAGACATGATCGACCAGGCACACCAGTTGCTAAACATGCAAACCGATTGCTCAGGCAAATGGCAGCGTTCTTTGGATCCCCTTTTGCCTTCCCTGGCTTTGGAGAGTCCTTCCGCGGCTTCGTCTTTGGAGCCGGCGCTGCCTTTTCTCCATGTTTGAAAAAGCACTTGTCTCCCCTTCTACAAGTACCTTGTTGATCGTACCTGCATGGGGTCCTTGCCATCTCTTCCTTAGTCATACGCTTCTTCTCCTTGTCTGTGCTCTTGTCCCTCGACTCATTTCGCTCCCGAGATGGTTGACGCTTCTTGGAAGGGTCACGTTTGGGCTTCTCATGCTTGAACTTGCAATCCTTCCCTTTTGCACACTTGCCCTCCAAAAAGGCCCAACAAATTCCCTTCTCCCGAGACGTTGGCCGCCCACGCGATGGTGAACGCTTTCGCCGAGGATCAACTGTTGGAGCTGCGTTCTTCTCATGTCGGTCGCCTGGCTTGAGCCGATTTCGCTCAGCGATGCGTGACCGGTTCTCTCGAAGGCGCTCCCGATCTATCAAATCCTTGATGCTTTGCAGTAGGAACTTGTAAGACCGATGATGGTCACCTTCTTTTGCACGATCAAACAGATCGATATCGTACCTCAAGATTGCGCTAGTTCGGATCTGCCTCAAAAGGATGTCCCGAAGCACGTTTTCGTGCGGTGGTTCGGGCATACCGGCGATGGTAGCGTCCCAGCGGTTGAAGCGCTTCAAATCCGCCACGGTGTCGCCTACCTTCACCACATTGAGGAGATCCTCAACCCTGTAAAGGCTACCTGCTTCTTCTGAGGTCTTGAAATAGTCATCAAACATGAGAAGAATCATTCTTCCACGAACCTGGATGCCTAGCTTTGCCTTCTCTTCCTTGTAATTGATGATTCGGTTAGCTAGATCACCCTTTGCACTTCTGGTCAATGCGGCTGCCAACTTGGTGTCCAACGTTGTGAACTTACCGGGGTTTGACAACCGCTCTTCCAGAACATTTCTCTCATCAACTGTGTTGTAAACCTCCATCAACCAGTCCCAGGCCGCATCTGGTTTGTCAGAACATGACTTGATTTCGTCCCGCACATGATGCTTCCACTGCCGATAGGTCCGATAGGTTTCAGGGGTTGGCATAACATTCAACTTGATGTGATCTGCCTCTTTGACCTTTGGCTTCTCATCCGATTCTCTTTGAGTGAGTGACTTGACCAGTTCAATCACCTGCTCAGAGGTGATGGCACCTGACGAAGCTGGCTTGTGGGGCTCACGGATCGAAGGTGCAGGGCTATGAAACACGTGAGTTGGTGTCTTGCCACCATCCGCTGTAGTGCCTCCGCAGACTGGAAGCACCGGCTTGATTGGAGCGGCTGCCCCGGTTGGGGCATCACCGGTGATGGTGGCCGTTGGCACTTTAGGTCCAAACAACCCGCTCAAACGTGCACTAGCCTCTGCTGCAATGGTCTCTAAGGTACCTTTCTTTTCACGCTCGCCTTGCCTAGGTGTTACCATTGGCGAAGCAACTACACTAGTTGGAACATACTCTGGCTCGTCAGTGACTTTGTTGTCAGCCCTCAAGTCATCGATGATTTGTTGCAGGCTGTAGTTGTCGTTTTCTGCCTCTCTCAAATCACGCTGAAGTTTGAGCTCTCGTTCATCAAACTCTGCACGAAGTCTCACTACACCCTGTTCAGCACTTTCCGTGATTGCATTCACTGCTTGCTGACACTCGTATGTGAGTTGTGTTCGAAGAGAATCCATCTCTGCTTTCTTTGCTTCAGCTTCCAATGCTCTGTCGTTTTCTAGCTTGAATATACGTGCTTTGGCAGCGCTAAGCCCTGCTTGCAACTTGTCATGGCTAGATTGGGCTTGTTGTTTCACTGAACTAACCTCCTCGTGGTGTCTGCCTTCTACCTCAAGAGTCGCCTGGTGGAACTTGGCTTTTACCGTGTCCATCCATTGTGCTAATACTTCCTTGTGCCTTCGTTCTGCCTCAGCAATGATGGCGTCCTCGTTGCCATTGTAGACTTGCTGGATGTTCTGCTGCACAAATTGGAAGTATGCCGTGACCGGGGCTGAACCCATAGGATCATCTAGATCTACATGGGGCTCAGTCGTGAGACCGGCTGGCACGGCGACTGATGATGTGGCATTCCCCGGGATAGCGAGAGTATCCATGGCTGTGGTTAGAGCCCTACGGCTGATAACCTATAGAAACAGCCGCTAAGCTACGGTTCCTTTTGGGCCGCGAGCTACGAGGTCAAGTCATGACATCCTAAGTATGTGCAGGGTACAAAGTGTACATATTACATGGAGTGAAAATACAAGTTGCTCGACACTGTATGGATATATTCATTGCTATGGCTGCCAACTCTGAGGCTTGAACCCTCGACCGGATTCCCCCACATCGTGGTTCACCAGGAGTCGGGTCGGCCTGCTTGGGAGCCGCCGGAATCTTGGCCTGCTTGGACTTCTTTTTGGTCTTCGGACCTGCAGGGAGCGATGGTTGAGATGAACATATTGCCCCATGCGAAGGTTCTGAGAGCGGCCAGCGTGGGCAGGGGGTGTGTGGGGGTAAGGGGGTGTGTGTTGCGGCCACGCAACGAGGAGTTGGAGAAGGAAAACGGCGAGGTCCAACATGCAAGGTTCCTGCAAAGGTAAAGTCCCTATAACGCCGGGGGGGGTCGCAGGGTCAGAATATGTAGGAAAGGTGGCTTCGCGAAGCGCCAACGCGCAACCCCAGAGGGTTCGCCACTTGGTTTTGAATTGGCGTTCGCAACCTTTCATACCCTCGAACTTAGCCTTCGAGAATTGGCTTCGCCTGTATCATTCAATCAGAAACGCTACTCAAGTGGTGCGTTCCGTGGTGCACAAGGCTCCTGTACCGTGTTTCTAGAACTCAGCATCTCTACCGTATCCAGTGAAGCTCGCGCTGGCTCGCACTCGATGCGTTGGACTGGCTCGCACTCGATGCGATCCAAAACCGTGCGAGGAAGGACGCCGCCCAGCTCGCGGCCGCTGCTCGTGTGACCTCGTCGCGATTGCGCGACGTCGCGCGCCGCGAGCGGCGCGGAACACCAAATCTGTGGAGCCCACCGTCTCCTCGCGTTCGGCGCACCGAGAAACGCATGTCCGGAAGAGCTAGCCCAGTCGCTGGCCACTCGGACAAGAGCTGGGGGCCGAGCCGGTCAAGTGGAGGCGACTCTCGTCGCTGGAAGTGGAGGCGACTCTGGCGCCATACTTCGGTCGGCCAGTGCCCCAAAATGCGCAGGACTCGCACCCTTCGGAATTGGGATCGCTCGCTCCAAAGAAACCTCACCACCTGGCATGCTTCGGGCCTGGCGCGAGCTCACCGAGGTCGCGAAGCAGGTCCTGGGCACATGAGCTTCGGGCAAGAGAAGCCTCCAGTTCCGGGGGGGAAGCTCCGGTGCGAGTGACTCGCTGGGAGAGACGAATGGTTTGGATGAAAATGGAAACCTCCACAAGTCAGGAAGTCGTTTTTGTGCATGGAAACTTCGGCTTGAGCTTCCATTTTGGATGAGCTGCGAAATGAAATGGATCATAAACTAGGTGTCCGAAAACGACAGAACCTTCGCCACTGGGAAGTATTAGGTATTTTGGCGACCTCCTTTTTCTGGATGTGAACAATTGCTCATGGCGTGCATGTTTCTTTGACTTTATTTTTGTTGAGTGATGCAGGTTCTGGTAAAGCTTGTACTCGAAGAAGCCCAATGGCAATGCTGATGGAAGTTTGAACTTCGCAGCATGCAAGCCGGACCACTGACAGTCTCATCAAGAGTGTGTTGGAGGCTTGTTCTGTCTACCAGGTACGGTGTATAGTCTATCAAGCTATATCAAGCTCACTTCTTAACATTCTAATCCATGGATGCACATTTCCCCCATGTTCACCCCCTCTGGCAGATTTGGAACAAATCATGGAACATCGGAAAGTAATGGAAAGAATATAATAGTTTCTTGAGGGTCATATAGGAACAAGAAGCTACTAAGTGGAGGCCATCGCACCGAGAACTTGTCCGTCTACGACCGAGACGTCTCGGCACCGAGACGGGCTCCTCCAAAGGCCGATCGTCCTCCACCACCTCGGGCCGCTTCTCCACCGGTCGCCGGCGGCGGCCTCGAACAACGCGGTGACGGAAGGGACGGTTTGGACGAAAAGCTTAGAGATCGTGGAAAGTGGAGGGAGAGGGTGACGAACAAGAATTCAACTTGAAAGATGATCTGATAAATGTTATAAGATCTTCACAGAAAATCTGATATCTATAGACATACATCGAGCTTTTCGGATGATTCTACATCACCCAGTAGTGTTGGGAAGATGTGGCATCAAAAGCGAGCGGCACCCAAGCCTGATATGCTCACCAAAAAAAATTGGAATAGACTGTTATGTATAGTGTGTATTCCATTGGGCCCCGGGGTTCAGTTAAAATTGTAGAAATCCAAGTGCGGAAGGTTATCCAGGCTAGTAGGTTGGAGGCCATCGCTAGTAGCTTGGAGGTGAGTCTTTTTCGGAGCTCCGCAGTGGCCATCGACCGACCGTTGGCGCCTGCGGTGGCCACCGGACGCTTCTCATTCGGAGCCTCGACCGGTGTCCGGCGACTGAGGGAAGGTGCCAACTCGGTGCCAACGAATGAACGAAAACATGGACAACTGGACATGGAAAAAGAACATGTAAAACAAAAAAGATCATTGTGTTGTAAAACATGGAAAGACCATTGTATTCAAGACCATTCTTTCACAACTATGCTCTGCACCACTCTGGAGAGATGCGGATCACATCGATCCCGTCACGGCCGAGATGCGGATCGGACAGCAGCTGTGTTCGGAAAGCTGTGGCGAAGCCGGTGACTCCGTGAGGAAAGCAGTCTGGCCCACCAAACTGACTGGTGCGACTCGTAGGGAATAAGGGAATGAGCTTCCCATAGAGATTCTATTGGATCCAGCCACCCTCAGCCACCCTGCTTTCGTTGCACCAGTCAGCAAAGAGTGGGTTCCAAAATGGACAGAAGCTTCTCAGGCACCAGATGCCGAGATTGAGCGTTTTCTCAGCCACAACAGATGGGCCAACCCACCATGCAAATGTTCCACACATACCAGGACCCATGGTCGGAGTAGTTACAAAAAAAACACCCATTGGGTCATCAATCGACGTCAAACACGACCCAAAACGTTCACCTCACGCAACAAATCAAGAACACTGCGTCCGCCCTTCTCTACCCCGGCGCCTCATCGCTCATCTTGGCCAAAAGAGATGTCACGGTGAAGGGCTCCACCGAGCCTTGCACCGGCCTCGCATCCAGTGCAGGTCTCGGACCTCCAAGACATGCCTCCCTACCCTCTGTTTTTTGGGAAACATCTCCATGGTTTGGGATCACTTTTGGGATTCAGTGGAGGGTCTAGGCTAGGTCAAGAAACGGTCGGGAAAGCAGTGAAAAGAGTTAGCTACATGTTTGACTACAGTTGCTGGCAGTCCGACCCAAAGTTCCCACGATGAACTTGGGATCTCCACTCACTTCTTTGTGCCTGGTCCAGCGGACCGCTAGTCAACTCGGTGTATTTTTTGGAGAAGAAATGGTCCGCTGGCGATGAACCTGGGGGGGTCCACTCACTTCCAAACGACACTGCGAATGTCCAGTTTCTCGGTGTACAGACTCACCATCGAGTCTGTCAAGTCCGCACAGGATCATCCCCCTACACCACCACTTCCTGTTCGCCCTGTCCTGTGCACCCAGTCCGGCTCCAAGGCCAAGCTAAACCCAAACATCACCCAGTCCAGTGCTCAACATCGGCTCACCCCAAACCTCAAATCCTTTTGTTCAAACCAAACGGACGTCACAGAGAGTCGGTGTCTGCCGTTTCCGCAGCGGACCTGAGCAGTGTCCGCAGCCGAACGCTCCGTCACTGAGAACCTTCGGCCCTGCCCCCACGACGGGGACCGGTGCCTGAAGGAAGCTCCTTCAAAAAGACCGTCCAAAATAGAGGGCCACCTGGACGCCGGTTCGTTCGGTGCTTCGTGTGGTGTCCGGAGTGTCCGGTGCGGTGTTCGTTGGCTCCGGTCTTGAGAGCTTGAAGGTCCGAGAGCCCCATTTCAACCAACCATTGGGGAAGAAGAGATTCTGATTGGAGGGATTGGCCATCGAAAGGTCAAGCTCGGTCTGGCCCCACCTGAAAATATATCCCATGATTTTTCGACACGAGTTACGCAAACAACACGGGCACGAGTACGAGCTACCCAAAATCCAGGGAATCCAGACAAATGATCAAGCTGTTGAAGAACATCGAGATATTGGGTCCGTATTTGAACAGGGAGACCCCGGGCGCCCCGATCGCTGGGTGGACTGGTCTATGTCCATGTCCCGAACCGGGGTCGGAAACGCCTCTCCTCGGTGCCGGTCTCCCATGTCGACCGAGCGTCAAAGCACCGAACTCTCGAGGTCAAAGACACTGCTACTCTCTAAGGCATCCGCGTGTTAGGGCGTTGCTTCATTGCAAAGGTGCAGAATTCTACACTGGGTGGTCAGAGAATCAAAAAGGCCTGGAAGTCCAAGACCATTTCAAACATTTCAAGACTTGTCTTTGGGTGACCAGAGTCTAGGAATCTTCTTTACTTCGGTGGCGCCGTTCAGGGCTGGCCAGGCGCTGTTCGTCCGTTGCTCCGATCCCCTTCGCCGGGACACTCGGTCATTGGCGCATTGGTGAGTCGAGCTTCCACCACATTCTCCTCCGGTCGAGGGCGTTGGGTCCGGGCACGGAAAGGACCGGAGAAGCTGACGGGTTGCCGCAGCATCCAGAATGGAAGGGCGAGGGTTTTCAGCGAGACCCCGAAAGGAAGCTTCACTGGCCTCGTTCGTTCTTCACTTGGCAACCATCTAAGTCGCACGGAATCTGTTTCTGCCACCTTCGGTGGCTGAGAAGGTTAGGCATCCAAACAGAAGTTCTTGACTCTGCCTGGACCCTAAACTTCCCCCAACACTGCCTGGACGTCATCACCAAAATCCCCGCGCGGCCCGCGCTTCATTCCAAAGAAATGCTTCAAACCCTTTCCTCGCCCAGATAGATTCCAATACCACTTGGACACCAACTTCAGTACGAGCGGAACTGCATCAGCGATCCGTTCTCCCACCCCAGACCGGGCCCCGCGCCACAAACCTGGGGCCGAAACGATGGAGGACAAGGTTGACCCCACCCAAGAATGCCTCCCCATCGTCCGAACCCATCGAAGGTCCGTTCCAATCGCGGTGAGCTTCAGTCGAGTTGGCGATTGTTCAGTCCTCATCCATGGATGCTGCATCCATCGACGCCATGGCGGTCAACGAACGTCAACGGGTATTGAATTGATGTGTTGTGGGCTGGATTCTCCATGGGCCGGACGGGCTTACTGACATGACTGGTGCATGGGAAAAATACGCTTTAAATTTAAATGAAAGGCATTTTTGGAGTGACAACAAGGGTCATTAAGCTGAGTGGAAATCGCATGGTGGAAGCGTGTCAAATATCTCGTCGCTACAGTAAAAAGTCTGCTGCTGGGTTGCACTGTAGCGTGTCAGATTCCATGACAAGGCGGTTGTTGGTGAAGTAGTCCATAGTTTTGCCAACAATCGAAGAGAAAATGCCACTGTCAAATTCCTCGCCTTTCTTGAGCTTCTCTGGAGACGCGGTAGATTCCATCAAGAGATCCCCTTTGGCGCAGAAAACCGTCAATCCGAGAGCCCGAGTCAAACCTTGGAGAGGTGCGTCTGCTTCAGCGTGAATTAGGTGTCAATCTGATTCAATCTTCAAAGTACTTCAAAGATTGTTGATACTACGATCCATTCTCGCGCCATTCTCGGCTTGATGAAGATTCCTGAAAACCACCTGGCGCGGCCCAAAAAACGGCCAACTCCTGAACCACTCACGCCCTCTGATACACTCGCCGCCCGCCCATCGGCACCTCTTTTGCTGCGCGAAGGCACTCGCCCATGCCGAAAGGCACTCAGCCAAGGCCACTGGCAGTGTGCGGCGAAGCGCGAATGTCGTCACGCGAAGGTCGTGGAATCTCACCACCCCATCAGTTTTGAGGGGGCCGATGATCTGATTGTAAATACATGTCCCATGGATGCAACCTTGGAACCTTCCACCAAAGGTGCTACAAGCATCATTCATGCTTCGAAGCAGCTCTGACGGGTGAGACCTGCCGCTCCTCAATGCTATCCAGGCATGCCGACGATTTCTCCGGGCGACATTCGGTGCAATGCAGCCAGACCTTCCAACCATTGGGGAATGGCTTGAGAATTGCCTGCTCCGAAGTGATTCTACCAGGGAATCCAGGCAGCTGGACACTGAGGCGTTTCAAAACTTTGGGCGCAATGCGGGGATTCCCTCGCGCGGCCTGCGCAAATCGCCAAACGCTGCAGCGCACCCGTTCCCAGTCACAGGTCTTAACTAGCTTTCGCAAGCAGGGCATTTGGCTTTGGATGCCTGAAGCAAGATCACCCTGATCCCCACGCTGAAATCTCAGGTGTGCTTCTTGCACATCTTGAAGTTCTGTCTCCACGTCCACGAGCAAGGTCATCTCCTTCATTTCAGGACAAAGAGGATGCGTTCTGATGCTTCTTGTTGTGCCTCCCGATGCCACCGAGGTGCAATCTTCATGTGTTGTCTGTTGCAATAGATTGGGCCGAAGTGCTTGAGGTATTGCCTCATCTGCAGCCTCAATTTGTGGCCGACAATCAGGATCCTCCTTGAAAGCAAGGAGGTGGTAGGGTTCTTTGGCACCAAACAGCCCTGGAACAGGCACATGGAAAATATCAGCACCGACTTTGATGTCTGCCGACCCATTCAGCAAGATGCGTAAACCTTGTTTGGAGCACTTGGCAGTGGCCGCCAAGACTTCTTGACCCCTGCCAAAATATGTATGTGTATATACATACACATACTATCATTGTATATTGTGTTATATATATAGAAAGAGAGTGAAATTGAGTGTAAAAAACAACTCCAAAAAAAATGAACACAGTCGCTTGCTAAGGAGCACGAAGGAGTACCAGCATTCGCTGATTTGGATGCCGCATTGATCGAGGACTTCATGAAATCGCTAAAACGCTTTCTGTCCTCAGCAACAATTAAGCGTTCAAAGGATCTGCCCACAAGGCTGACTTCAGATAGTATCCTCGTTCGAAAGATCTGCTCAAAACAGCAGCGGCTAAAGAAGAATACCAAAACACCTGTATAGGTGTGCTTTTTGTGGAAACCCATATTTCTGATGGCTTTCCACGTTTCGTGGATGGATGTTTGATAAACAAAAAGCCTTCTTAAAAAAATGCCAACCGGGAATCAAATGTTGCAAGCATTCGCTCTCTCGAGCCACATTCATTCCGCTGTCCAGCAGCACCTGGAGCAGCGGTGGGTGAATTCAGAGAGGGCAAACCCCAAACCTTCTGCATTCACCTATTGGGAGCTTTTCTATGCTCCTGGCTGCCCCGGAAGTCCACCCTCCCTTCGCCGGAACCGCCGGAACCGGCGGAACCGCCCTTCGTCGCCTCGCCATCGCAGACCCCGCGTAACATGCTCCGGAAGCTGGAGATCAAGGAGTCAGCATCAGCTGTATCCAGGAGTGCATCGATCTGTCCTCGAAGCGCGACATCCATGAGCACCGAAGACACGGTCACGAGGAGAAACAAGAAGAGTTGCGCACAGCACAGCTGCATCACTTCAACTCCGGGAGCGAGCACACAGAAATAAATCAGCAGCTCCAAAGTTGTATACAACACTTGAAAAGGAATAGTCATCCACGGATCCAGAAAGGCAAAAACGAGGCAGAAACGAAATGTGATCGCAAATCCTTGGTTCATTGCCACATTGCTGGCATTCCCAGGGAAAGCTGCCGCTAGAATCCCTCCCATGCACAAAACGTGCAGTAGGTAGCTTGCAACTTTGAGCTGACAAGCGGTAAGGTGCACGGAATCCTTGGAAACCGTGGAGTAGTGCACATAGGAGATGATGCACATGACAAATAGAGCCATGCTGTCAAGACCAGGAGCTTCGAAGACCTTGTAGCCAAAAAACAGGCTCAAGACAAAATCTACATGACAAAGGCCACGGCAAAAGAACTTGTAATTGGTCCTGCGAATCTTCAAGAACTCTTCTTCAACTCGAGCTTCTTTGGCATCATTGTGCGCAGCCATGAGGACATGCCCCATCACGGAAACCATACATTGCTTCAGCTTTCCCCAATCCTTCTGCGTCTGCCACAAGTGCACTGGTAGCCACACAAGGGTCAAAGTGCAAAGCCCGCTCAAGGCATTCATGGCATTCACTGGACTCGCCGTAATCTGTCGTTCCAAAGACCCCCAAGACCCTCAGGCACTCTTCATCAGTGCCTGTGGTTTGTTGATGTTTGTTGCACGTGTTTTGCTGGATGAAAACCATCGCACTTGGGGTCCAGGTCATCACACTTGGAGCCAGGTCACTGTGAGCATCGATGGAAAACAGGACACTGAACGGATGGGAAACAGCAAGGCAGCGAGCCATGTCACCAAGTTCCTCACAAGTTGGGTACGACAAAGGCTTGCTTTCGCGCCGTAATCACGACTCACCTGGCCTTCGAACCGCGTCCGGCGAACCGAAGCCAGGTGGAACCCACCCGCAAACCCACCGAGTCCCACCACCCGACCGGGCCGAACTCGGCGTTCTTCGGCCCGGCGCGTCGCTTCTTTCGCCGCGACCGGGTCGCTCCGTCGTGCCACGGCGCCGTTGGGCGCCGTGCTCCGTTTCGGGCGCCGTGGCGGCGAAGGCCCTGACGGCTGGAGGGTGGGGGGGGCGGAGTGGGGGGCGGGTCATGGAGCCTCCTCGGAGCGCGGCACAGGGGTGCCGCGGAAACATCGTGAAGATTAAGATTAAGTGGCCACAAGCGGGCCATAAGCCAGATATCACCCCCCATCCCCAATGGTCCAAATCCCACGAGCCCTAGAATACACATTCTCATTGGTTCTCATGGATGTTCGACTGATCCTAGGGACCCTGGGGGGCATATTTCGACCAAAATGTCAGCACATCCTCTTTCGACTTGTTGATTCCAAACATTACTATATTATACTTACTATATTTGTAGTGCCTTCACCCGGTGTTTTGTTTGGAATGACCCATGTTTTGTTCAAGCAAAATACCAAACCCGTTGCCGACCCAGTCGGCGTGCACCGTGCAATCCCGCCGTGGCCCACGATCGAAAACGCAGAGTTTGGGTGCTGACAATCCGGTTTGGTTAAAACAAGGTCCACATCGGAAAACGGTCAGAAAACGAAGCGTTTGGGGACCAAACGGGAGTGTTGGGTCCTCCACTCCTCTTGTTTCCTGGCCTCCTGATGTGCCTTTCTTGCTAAGCCGGATGCCATGGGCGCTTTGAATCCACATGACCAATGTGGCAACCTCAGACCTGGACATGTGGACATTCACAACTCCGTTCCTCCGTTGCTTTTTGTGCAGAATATATAGGACTCAGGATGAAGCACCCCCCCAAAAAAATAGGATGAATCTCTCTATTCAAAGGACCAAGTCTGCTGTCACCCTGCCACCCTGCCTGCCACCCTGCCTGCCACCCTGCCACCCTGTCACCAAAACATATGATGAATGCCACCCTGCCTGCTGTCTCAAGTCTCAAAGTACCAATCTTTCACAGCTTGAAGGAACTGGAACACTTGCGTCGCCACCTCCTGCAGCGGTGAGTTCCACCGGTTCGCGGTTTCGTGGCGTCTCACACGCGTGCTCGCCCAAGCAGGAAAACCAGGTCGCAACCACCCTGTCGCTCCAAGGAAAGCCCGCACAAAGCCTCCAGAGTCAATAGATCTGACATGCTTGACAAAGTCTTAGATGTGTTCTGACAGACATGAACTGGCATGTGTTGTGACATTTGTCCTGCCGAGTCCTGCCGCCAAGGCTGACATGTATTCTGACATATCTTCTGGATTCTTCTGACATGTACTTCCAACCTAGTTCTGACACGTGCTCTCGCATGAAATCTGGCATGTCAACGTTATAGACATGTTTTGTGACATATGGCCTCGCTTAGGTTCTTATGCGTGAGTTCTGACAATTGCTTGGTCATAAACCCTGGCACTTGTCATATGTTCCGACATGTGTTTTATATATAGTATTCTATATATATATATTATTCTGACGTTTGTTCTATGTGAGTTTGTCAGGCATGTATTCTGACACTTGTTCTGGCACGGTGTTCCTATACGGTGTCTCTGGGCCATGTGACGTTTGTGTCTCTCACCGTGCTTTGCAAAGCCGGGCGGAAGAGGAAACATCACAACAAACCCGAACACCTGACCGAGTGACGATGAAATTACATCACCGTAGACCCCAAACAGGTGGGACGACGAAGCATTCCCAACGTCCACTTTAACAGTAAACTCTTTGGAGAAAAAGAACACATCTGAACTCCTTTCGTTTCGCCGCTTTCCCGGCGTGAAACGCCGCTTCGCCGCTCCACTCTGCGGTCTCCGGGCGACGACGAAGACGAGGTGAGCACGGCGGTGCCCCCTCCTGGTGCTTCAAGTTCTTGTCCGGATGCCAGCTGAGGCAAGCAGCCTTACGAGCGGTTCGGGTTCGTTCGTTTCAGCGCAGAACAGTGAGATACATGACGCTCATTCACTAAATGGGCGCTGGCAGGATGTCGCAGAAAACACCGGCGTTTCAGGTGGCGGCTTAAGGTCGCGTTTCTGGTTTTTTTCGGATGAGCTTTGGCGAACGAAAACCTCGGTCATGCAGGATATGATAAAGGGTCTTCACGGTGAGAGTTCACTGACGTGTCGTAGTCGTAGAGATGCTTCCCAAGTTTGACAGGCGCTTCGAGAAGGAACACGTACCATAAAGTCTCTCCATCATTTTAGAGGGGCGTTCTACTGTAAGTTGCGTTCGTGACTTCGGGAAGACAGAAGAAACACCCTGTTTATCCCCATCGAATGTCCCGAAAGTAAAACCTTTCAAGGGTATACAGTGACCCCTGATTCTCAATCTTTCCTGAGCCACCTGGCCATATAAGCTCGCCGGCGATGCGCCAGCGGCTTCTCTCTTGACCTCGGCTCCGAGTCGATGCCCTCGGGATCCGAGGTCGGCCACAAACCGAGTTGACACTCCTAGAAATCATCCACGGGCACCCACCTGGGACTAGTCTGAAGGGACAACTCATGGATCGTCCATGGTGATATGGGACTGGCACCACCTGGGCCCCAGGTCTTCGAAAAGACTCGATGGTCCTCCGAGAAGACTCGGGGCCAAAACCCTTCCCATCCACTTGAATCATGGTATAATTGTATAATATTCAGGGAGGCTAGAGCCACTCGTCCGTGCCCCTGGCTTCATCACCTTCTTTCTAGAGTTCTCGTCGTGGCCTGCCCCTTCCACTGTGATGCTCCGTGAGATGGCTGGGGAAGATTGAAATAAATTGGAAACTGATTGAAACTTATTTCTGGAGCCGTGCCGTCAAGTGCTCTATTCTAAATTGATGTTGTGTCCTCTTGATGCAAAGCTTGCTCACCAGGATCTTGGGGTAAGCCATGACTTCAGTGCCTGAAGGGCGCTGAAGAAGATGGCGGTTGTCCACGCGATGTTCCAGAAATCAAAAGAAACCATCCCACCTGGGGTGGTGTGGCAAAGAAACCAAAGGAAGGGTGAAAAAAACAGAACTCCTAGCACCCTTGGGTCAATCCTGATCTGGATTGCAAGTGTTGGACGTGGACTGCACGTGGACCTCTATGAACCACACCAAGGAGAATCTCAGATCTCACAGGTCACGCATGTCCTACACGACGCCAAGTTGCTTCTGCATGTCCTTGTAGACGGTCTCTGCCACCCGGCGTGCTTTGTCGCCCTTGGGCCATTCCACGTTCTTGGGTAAGGAGAGCTCCTGGCACGAAAGAAAGAAAGATAGATGGATGGATGGATGGATGGATGGATGGATAAGATAGATAGATGGACAGGCTTGCTCTATATAGATATATATTCAAATTATCGCACATGTTTCCTTACTTTCCTTTTACCTGGCTCTGTCAACTCTAGATTGCAAAGCAAACCAAAACACGGCTCATCCACGGCCCACCTCTCCGATGTTCCCGTTTGGCCCAGACTTGGGCTTCGCTGATGCCTTTGCACCCTTGGGCGCTAAGCGAGGCCGATGGCCTCGTGCGTCGAGCCGGTCGCGACGGCGCGGCTGCCGAGCCTTGACCTGGCGGGAAACCACTGAAGCATCATCCATGGACCACAGAAGAATCAAGTACGGTTGAATGGCCCTTTTTCTCGTTTGGGCTGGGGAGGGGTTTGCCTCTGGCGTCGGTTCAAGGACCAAAACCGCAGATCCTTTTGGCGCCTAACTTCCCAGCGACTCCGGACGACGGATCCCAGGCGCTTGAACGGGCATGAAGTCCGGAGCACCATCCATCCAAGGGTGCTGAGACCCCATGAGTCGTTGCATCAGCAATGCTACCTTCATTTAAAGCCTTCTTCAGCCCAGCTACCCTCCAGGCCACCCCAAGCCCGACCACTGACCTCCAGGTGCTAGACTCCATTTCTTCTGCTTCGGCGGAGGCCTGGCCCGCCATCGCTCGCAGCAGGAGGAACTAGTCTTCTGCAGTGGTTTTGCAGTTGTTCTGCAAAACGAGTGTTCAGTGTTTAGCGTCAAACTAGGATTGGAAATCAGAGCTCAATCAAAGCTTCGCAAGCGCAAATCAATTTGGAAAGGCTGCCAAGGTGTGTGTATCATATATGTCCACCAAAATGCCACTCGCTGCAAATGCAAGTCGGCCAACTCTTCCGTCTTCTCTTTCTGAAAAAGATAACATTGGACATGAAATCCACTCCCAAAAGCAAGACCGACGTCAGAAAAGGAGCTTTCAAAAGAACCAGAAGGAGAACAAAGCACGTCTGCCTGCTTGGATCAGGTATCGCCTTGTAGATGAAGGCTTTCGGCCTGCCCATCAGCTCCCGAGCTTTCACAAACAATCAGCCCTTGAAATCTGGATTCTTGGTGGACCCAAGTGCTGGAATCCCGTGACGCACGACAGGGCGCCACGCGACTCAGGCCGCGTTGGGCTGGTAGTGCGTGGAAAAAGTTCGGTCTGACTCTGACCCCATGGTTTTCCCGGAATGCCAAGCACAAACAGTCACGCGGATCGGATCCCCCGACGGACCCGGTGTCCACCAAACACCACCACCACCGAGGTGCATCATCACCCCATAAAGTGTTCTTTTCAGTGTTCTTCTGTGTGTGTGTGTGTGAGTAACAAAACCTCGGATGTCCTTAAAAAGG